CACTTGTTTTCCCCCAGAGTGAATATATCTGCTGATAATAATGTGGACTCTGGGTCCTGTTGTTACATGAAAATAACCAATTACACTTCTATGAAACCGTCTGCTGCTGTTTCCTTATATGTAACAATTTATTTAAAGTTTCCACGTTACCAGGCTGTAGAGTGCGCTGAGTGTATAAAGGATGTAAAACTGTAAAAATCAGTTTGTTTAGGTAACCTTCAGTCTTATTTTCCCAAAGAAAAACACGTCATTTCCAGATATTTTTGACATCTATAGGAACTCTGGGCCTCTGTGGAGTGTGCAGCTGATGTAATGAGGATCATGCCAAATCATTCAAACATACAGACTGCAAGAGTAACTAGAGTAGGTGTGCAGGTGGGAGTTCAATGCAGTGACTCTACCTGCACAGACTGACTCATGGCAGCCCGTTTAGTGGAGATTGTGGCACTCTTCCCTGTTGTCACTATTTAATGCGCACCAGCAGAAACGGAGTTTCACTCATTTAGAAGATCATCAATTAGCCAGGAGCTAAGTAGCTTACTGCTTTGTATTTTTTTAAAAAGCCCTCCGTAAAGCTAGAAAATCCTAATATTCATCATTGATTGAAGAAAATAAGAACAACACCAGGTTTCTCTTCTCAACTGTAGCTTTGTTGAGCCAATCATTCCTTTAATGTTAACTAGTAATGACTTCATTAACTTCTTACTTTAATTACAAAGGTTATTAATTTAGACTCTCTAATTGATGTTTCTGAGTTAACTTCAGTAATTTCAGTAAAATGTACCTTTTTGACCTCATTCCTACAAAACTGTTCAAAGAACTTCTGCCATTAATTAATGCTTCAAGCTTAAATATGATCAACCTGTCTCTCTTAGTGTGCTACACAACGCAGGCCTTCGAGCTGGCAGCAGTTAAACAATTACTTAAAAAGCCATCACTTTAGACCATTAGAGCAAACTATATGTATTAAGGCTACTGCACTGCATTGGTTTAAATCACACCTCCCAATAATAGACTCCAAGTTGTTCATGTAAAGGGAGAGTCATCTTCACATAGGAAGGTTAATCCATGCTAGGACCAGTTCTGTTTACATTATACATGCTTCCTTAGGCTGTATCATCAGAAGGCATAGCATTTCACTGCTATGCAGATGAACCCAACTTCTATCAACGAAGACAGGTAACACTTAGCAATTAGTTAAACTGCAGGAATGTCTTAAAGACATGAATGACCTCTAAATTCCTGCTTTAGAGGTCATCTAGGTCTGAGGTTATTGTACTCGGCCCTGAAAATCTTAGAAATATGGTATCTAACCAGATTCTTCCTCTGGATGGCATTACCTTGGCCTCTAGTACCACTGTGGAACCACGGAAATGAGAACAGTGGGTTTTAGTGCATGAGGCACAGATAGACAGAGGACCGACGGGGGGAGAGTATGAGGTGTGGTATTGCTCCTGAAATTCAGAATAATTATCACCACTTAAACAAGGCTTACCACAAACAAATAGAAAGACATATAGATATAGTGATTCTGTGCATTTATTTCAGTTACTGTTTTCGTGCATTTTGATGGAGGAGCAGCCTCCTTCCACTTTGATAGAAATGACACTTGCACAGCACTAATGCTCACACACATCACACAGTTTTAACACCCCCACACGCCTGTCCGTAGGTTTTTAACCTAATTGTCATATTTCTGTAAATGTCATGTCTAATCTGTTGCTTGTTGCTTTAACAAACACATATCAGATTACTATTACATTATAAGACAACGAAACACTAAATGTATAAAGGCTAATTTATACTATTGAGCCCGGCGCCGTCCTCTGTCAATACAGAATGTTCCATACGAACAGAAAAAAGGCGCTAAACATGTTTTTAAAACTTGAAGCACTTATTTCTTAAATCCAGACGCAGAGACAGCGCTACATGTGTCAGTTTCTGAGAGCCATGATGCAAGTTAGGCTTCATACATTAGTGTTTCATTTCCACTTTTAGTGATGGTAAAAAGGCAAATCAACTCACCTCAAGATTAATTTCAGTTCAAAAGTCCATTCAGTCATAACCCACAGTACAGCAGAACCCTGACGTACGAAATGAATTCGTTCCCGAGGGTCTTTCGTAATCGAAGATTTTCGTAGGTCGAAGCACCCATCGCGCCTTTTGAGTGAACGACAGGCTATAGGCTAATTGCTAACTGCAACAACAATACGTCGTAGAAAAGTAGTAAAGATATTGACCGTATGCTCTTTAATTTTATATGGAAAAACCGTACGCATTATATTAGAAAAACTGTTGTGATGAATAAGTACGAATCAGGTGGGCTTAACGTCTTAGACTTTTCTACTTTAAACAACACTTTCAAAATTAATCGGGCTAAACATTTTCTTAAAACCCTACCTCTATCTGGAACTTTATACCATATCATATTTTCTCTCGTTTTGGTGGCTTTACTTTTATTTTAAATTGTAATTACAATGTTGAGAAACTCCCTGTAAAGCTTTCATCCTTCCATAAGCAGGTCCTCTTAGCGTGGACCCTCATTTATAAACACAACTTCTCACCTCACAAATACCTTATCTGGAACAACAGAGATATTTTATAGAAAAATAAATCACTTTTCCTGGAAACTTGGCTCCAAAATGGGATCCTATTGATGGCTCAGCTGGTTAATAAAGAGGGACAACTACTTACTTACAACGACTTTATTGCACTATATAATTTTCCAATCAATGTTCAGGAATTCTCAATGGTGCTTGGTGCCATACCCTCAGGGACTTTAATGTTATATAAAAACACTGACAGCTCGATCTCTACCTCAGTCACTCTCTCTGATCCAGCTGAGTCACCAATAGGAAAAATCTGCTTTTCACAGGAACTTGGTAACAGCAATAAGAGAATACGTAGTTTATTCCAAGAAGATATCGTCTCTCTCCCATATATAATATCTTATTGGAACCGATTTGTTCCAGATATCAAGTGGAAGACAGTCTGGATGGTCCCCCATAAATATTTGATTGTAAATAAGGTGAAAGAAGTCTCTTTTAAAATTCGACATACATGTTATCCAGCCAGTCACTACATGGTCAAATTTAAAAGGGACATAAATACTAATTGTACTTTCTGTGGGGATCATGCAGAAACTATGACATCTTTTTTGGTGCTGTTCTTTTACACAGAGATTCTGGAAGGAATTTAGCAGCTTTGTTATTGTCCATATTTTAAGGGAGTTTTCTTTACGATGGGAAAATGTTTTATTCTGTTTCTTTAAGTTCCCCAAGAAGTATGAGAAATGTTTTTTATGATAAATTTCTTAATACTTTTAGCTGAATTCTTTATCCATAAATGTAAGTTTACTAACAAAACACCATATTTCTGTCATTATTTTAAGGATGTGAAAATGTACATACAATCAATATCAGACTCCACCAACAAAAAGCCTCTCAAAACAATGTATGTATGTGAATTTTTGCGTGTATTCTTATAATTGTTACCTTTTTCTTTTCCCCTGGCTTTGTGTGTACATGTTCTGTTGTTTTGTATACTTCATCTGTTCATATGTTGTATACTCATTGTTTGTTAAATAAAGTTTATTAAAAAAACAAAAACAAAAAAACAACAACAATACGTGGTTCAAGTGGAACAGCGAAGCGCAAGTACGAAAGCCAAGAGGTTGTCACATGATTCGGAAGGCATTGTAGGCATTCTGGGCTCAGCCAATCAGAGCCAGCGGATTTCGTTACGCGGGTATTTTGCTGTAACACGGGCAGAAATATTGCCGTTCAGTGCCTTCGTAACGTGAATTTTTCGTTAAATGGGGTATTTGTAAGTCGGGGTTCCACTGTATTTACTTCAGTAACATACCCTCTATGCTCCTCCTTTCTAAACAACTGTAGCGTGCTGACACCGACACGCTGCAGCGGGCACTTTCATTCAGTGAAGGCCGTGGTCCAAAAACTGTAAGAACAGTTATTAAAAAACACATACTGAAGGTCAAGCTGATCTTAACACTGATGTACAATTTATCTGTGAATTCATCCGATTTCCTCAACAGAATGTTCCACCCTCAAAACCTCACCTTAATGTACTTTATCACCTTCATCAACCGCACACACACACACCCTCCAACCACACGCGCCCATATTTTGCTCCATTGCTGTTTATTTCACACCTCAAACATTTAGTAAACAGTTAAGCAAATACAAGTAAACAGCAATAAATTACAGGTAGTAATAAAATAAACTACTAACTCGTTTACGCTGTGTCCGCACCTACACGGGTGATTTTGAACACGCAGCTGTTTCGTCCACGTTAAACGGCGTTTCGACTCAAAACTGAGATTTTTTTTTAAACTCCTTTTTTGCGTTTCCGTGTGGACGAGGAATACAGAGTTGGTCACGCAGCGTCAAAGGTATGCGCCTTTATTCACGTCACGCTGTGGCCACGTTATTGTTTACATGAGATGAATTGCAGAATGATAGAGACGAAATACTGTTAATCTGACTGTCTGCAGGTTTTACACGCAGTTACTGTCCCTCCATTTACAAAGGCAGAGGCGTCACGCTGTCATTATTTTATGTGTTGTTGTTGTTTCCTGTGTAATAATGTTCAACATTGCATCAATACATTTTTCAAAAAATGCCTCTCTGTGCAAAATGGGTTCAAAAACATAAACAGCTGTGGGATCCTGTTTGTCTGTGATTTGAACAGCGGAAACCAACCCTGCAGGGAGACCTACCTCAGCACCTGTGCAGGTGAAGCCAAAGGGAAGATTTGCTTCACCAGATTTTCTAGTCTTTGGCTTAGAATGAAGTTGGTTTGGAAACATATTCAGCGACGCTTCATCTCCTGCTTTGCGTTTGTGTGGGCGCCCGGTGCTGGCAGTGTCCAAGCGTTGTTTTCCCCCCTTTTCATACCGCGCCCCCCCTGCAATGGCTCTGGCCCCGCCTAGGGGGCGGGCGCCACACTTTGGGAAGGTCGGGCTTAGAGCAACCATCTAGTTAAAAGAATCTTATTTATTTCATCAAATCTAATGTTACATGTTTAAGGACACAACTTTCACCGCCTTACTGTCCTGATGTTTAGTTCTGTAGTCAACTAAAAAACTGCAATAAATCAATTTGTAGGAAATCAATCAATCAAACTCCTGTTTCTGGGTCTGTAGTGACAGTACATTTTCTACATCATCAAAGATCACACAATTCTTGTCTGATTGTCACTGTCTCACACTCCCAGCATTCAGATGAATCCACTGCAGACCATATCTGCTGGGGCATTCAAGGCTGACATCAAATCAGCTTCCACCTTGTGTCTGGGCGCTGGGTCGGCTCTGGTTCACCATCAAGACAGACTTAGAATGAAGTGCCTTCAGCCACGCTGATGTAATCCTTGAAGTCAGCTGGGACACTGAGCATAGAGCAGACCTGCACAGCAGCAACAAAAAAGCAGTGAAGAAAATATGGAAAACACTGAATCAGGTGACACTGTAGCCTCATCTGCTATACACACAGAGGGAAACGAGGAGACAGCTGAGAAACTACACCAGAGGTATCTTTAATTAACCAAGAACTGTGCTGCACAGTAGGGCTGCTCAATTTATCGAATTTTAATCACGATTACGATCTGGGCTTTCAACGATCATTAAAAATGACGGAGCCGATTATTAGCCCCTCCCTCATTTATCCGCGACACTTTAAAGGCCGGTCCGTGAAAATATTGTCGGGCATAAACCGGTCCGTGGCGCAAAAAAGGTTGGAGACCGCTGATTAAGAGGACCCGAGGGAAGCTCGGAAAGCTAAGCAGAAGTTATTTGGAGAGGAGAGTGACTGCTGTTGGTTGAAAAGAGAGGTAAAAAAACTTCAGTGGTGTTGCACACTATTTTATATTATTTTTTAAAGTCATTGTTAACCCTTTAAAGCCGGTCAGAGCAGCACGCTCCGTGTTGGGTAACTATTTTTAAATCCCTGTAGAATCTGAACCGTGTAAGCTAGCACAATAATTTGTTTTGCATATGAAACCGGAGGAGTTGTACTTACATCTGATGCCATCAGCTTGTCCTCGGTCACGGTTTCCTTCCACATATAGCTTTGCAAAAACTGCATAAAAAGCTCTTGCAGGAACAAAAACATAATATTCCAGAAACACGCTTTGCCGATCCTATCAGCTGTTCGTAACACTTCCCACAGTGAAACAGACGTCAGTGCGAACGATCGCATGTCCGCCATTTCCTGCCCTAAACCGGAAGTGACGTCACTTTCGCAGAAAATGTAGTTTTTTACTTGTAGGCCTTAAGAGCCTATACTGGTGTTTTTATAAGTCATGTCTGACTTTATGCTTTTCTGAATAGTTGCTGGGATGCTGAGAAGTCGAATTGCACTGCTGGAAATACCGTATTTTCACGACCATAAGGCGCACTTAAAAGTCTTAGATTTTCTTCAAAAAGTGCGGCGCGCCCTATAGCGCGGTGCGCCCTATGTGTTGTAAGGAGGACGTAGTAGAGAACACCATGAGAACGTTAAAGGGTGAAGTGTGGGCGTTGATCGTATATACCGGACAATCGCACATACCTGTATAAAAGAACAGGTATGTGCATTATGCAGGACATCGTTGTTTTAACAACCCTGAAAATGGCAAAGAGACACGCTTATGAAGCACAGTTTAAACTGAAGGCCATCAGCTACGCGGAGGAACATGGAAATCGAGCAGCGGCGAGAGAATTTAAGATTAACAAATCGATGGTTTGCAAATGGAGGAAGCTGGAAAACAAGCTCCGACAGGTCAAGAAAACGCAGCTGAGTTTCCACGGACATAAGGCGAGGTGGCTCGAGTTGGAGGAAAGACTCGAGCGGTGGATCATCGAGCAAAGAGCGAGCGGGAGAAGCGTTTCGACGGTCACCATTCGGCTAAAAGCAGTTTCACTAGCTGAAGAGATGAACATTGAACATTTCCAAGGAGGTCCGTCTTGGTGCTTTCGTTTTATGAAACGGTGCCATTTTTCCATCCGGACCAGGACTACGGTAGCGCAGCAACTTCCAGCGGATTATAAGGAAAAGCTGGCCATCTTCCGCTCCTACTGCAGCAAACACATCGGCGACAAAAACATCCAGCCCAGCCACATCACAACATGACGAGGTCCCGCTCACTTTTGACATCCCGGTGAGTCACACTGTGGAGAAGGGGACCAGCACGGTAGCGATACGCACAACGGGGCACGAAAAGTCTTCTTTTACTGTTGTGCTTGACTGCCATGCTAATGGACAGAAACTGCCGCCTATGGTGATTTTTAAGCGAAAGACTTTGCCTAAAGAGAAGTTTCCAGCAGGAATCATCATTAAGGCAAATGAAAAGGGCTGGATGGATGAGGAAATGATGAAAGACTGGCTGAGGGAGGTGTATGTAAGGAGACCAGGTGGTTTTTTCCACGCATCACCATCGCTGTTGATCTGTGACTCTATGCGTGCCCATCTCACAGCCGATGTGAAAAAACTAGTGAAACAAATGAACTGTGAGCTTGCTGTCATTCTGGGAGGCCTGACAAAGGAACTCCAACCGCTGGACATCGGTGTGAACCGGCCGTTCAAAGTAAGGCTGCAAGCGGCCTGGGAGCGATGGATGACCGATGGAGACCACAGTTTCACCAAGAGTGGATGGCAACGCCGGGCGAGTTACGCCACAATTTGCCAATGGATTGTAGATGCTTGGGCTAACATGTCTGCTGGCACTGTTGTTCGAGCTTTCGCAAAAGTCGGCATCATTTCCGAGGCACGGCACGGAAAGTGACTCTGACGGTGAAGACAGTGAACCTGGCATGTTTGATGGAGATTTAGCGCAGCTGTTCAATTCAGACACAGAGGATGAGGACTTCGATGGGTTTGATTGATGATAAAAACGTGAGTACCAAACTTCGTTTTGCTCCTGCTTTATTTTTAAATACGCACACTTGTATGCTTGTGTGTTGTTGATGATGACGATTACTGGTAATAAAAATGTGAGTAAGGTACCGAATTCAGGTTTGCTCCCGCTTCATTTTTAAATACGCATACGGTACTTGTATGTGCCCTATGATCCAGTGCGCCTTATGTGTGTGTTAAATACAGTAATGGCACACATAACTGAGACTGCGCCTTTTAGTACAGTGAGTCTTATGGTCGTGAAAATACGGTAGTTTATTTTGATGCTGTTTTCTTTGCAAATTTGCATCATAGGATTGTTTTTTGTTTTTCCTGCAGTATATAAGAATAAATAAAACTATGAAGGCACTCAAAATAAATTTCCTGTTGTTGTAAACTATTTTTTGCAACTTTTTTGTATTTAAAGTTTTGAGGGATAAACCTCTTAAATTTCTCCAAGTAGAAATATATGTAAACAAAACCAAAAACGATTTTCAATTTTTTTGTAGTTTATTGCACTTTTTTTGCAATTAATAATAATAATAATAATAATGGATTGGATTTATATAGCGCTTTTCAAGGCACCCAAAGCGCTTTACAATACCACTATTCATTCACTCTCACATTCACACACTGGTGGAGGGAGCTACAGTCGTAGCCACAGCTGCTTTGGGGCAGACTGACAGAAGCGAGGCTGCCATGTCGCGCCATCGGCCCCTCTGGCCAACACCAGTAGGCGGTAGGGTAAAGTGTCTTGCCCAAGGACACAACGACCAGGACAGAGAGCCCGGGGATCGAACCGGCGACCTTCCGGTTACAGATACGCGTCCCAACCCCCTGAGCCACGGTCGCCCCAATGTATGTAGTTACTATGGACTTAATGCATACATATTATTAAAATATGGGCTATATCAATTGTATAGCAACTTGAAATGCTCCCACAAATGGCACTACAGCATGTAAAAAAGTAATATAAGCTCTGGCGGACTTGGTTCTATAGTAGGTCGTAAGGGTTAAATAAATATCGTCAAATAATCGAGATCTCAATTTCAGTGAAAATAATCGTGATTATCATTTTTGCCATAATCGAGCAGCCCTACTGCACAGTGCAACTGCTCAGCAAACTGCAGCTAGCCAGGCTAGCTAGCAAGCCCAATAGCTAGCTGATTCAAAAAAAGAAGAAGAAAAAAACCTCTTTTTTTGTCCAAATAGAGAAAAACCAAAATCTCAGACTCAAGGCTTTAAAGCGATCATCCACAAACCAGTGAGTGACAGTAGCAAAGTCTGATTTCATATCATGTCACTGGCTCCACAAAAACCTTCATTCCGCTCCGATTAAAACAAGAAATCAAGTACCTGTCTGAACTTAGCTCGAAGCTTGCCCATGTCATCCTGTAGCTTCTGAGAGTGCGGATCATCAAGAGGAGAGCTTTGGATCATTCCAAGGAGGGCGTCCAGTGCTTTCACACGCTTTCTGATGGCACACAAGTTGGATTGACATAGCTGTAACAATTCCACACACTGCAGCTAAGAGTGATGACCAGGTGAAACAAATAACTTCTTTCCTAAGGAGTGGAGCAGTAAATGCTTAAAATAAATACAAAACGCAGTTTGTAAATGATGATTTCATTTCATAAAAAGAACACGAGTCAAACATGGTGTTGGTAGTGTGGCAGGCTGGGGCTGCTTTAGGACCTGGATAAAAATCGAGGCCTGAACTCTGTTCTCTACCAGAAACTCCTAAAGGACAATGCCAAATAATGCCAAACACAGCAGCAAGTCCACCACTGAACGGTTTTGGAGTGGCCTAGTCAAAATGTGACTTAAATCAGATTAAGATGCTTTGTCACGACTTTAAACAGGCTGTTCATTCTACAGTTCTACAAAGATTAGGCTGAAACTCCTTCACAGCAACGTGCCAGACTCACTGCCAGTTATACTGCAAACGATTCATTGCAAACTGGCAAAACCTACTTTTAAGCTTAGGAGGAATCGTTTTGTCACATCGGGCCATGTAGGTTTGGATTTGTCCTGTAAAAAATGCATTTTGTATTTTCTAGGGATATTTGAGTCTAGCGTTGACATTTGCCACACTGCCTCCGGAGCATTAAAAAGAGCACTAACACTCACAGCAGCATCAGAGAGAAACAATGCGAACTATCTCCTGTAACTACACCTGCTCAACAGAGCCCGATACACGGATCCTGAACAGGTTTCAGTCCACTCTGTAACTAGCACTTCATCACGGTGCTGTGTTATTCGGGATTAACATGGCGATCACAGAGTTTCACAGACGCAGAGCGCCTGTACTAGCTGAGCTGTGGCGATGAACAGCAGCACGGGAACGGCTGGAGGATCGTGTTTAAGGCGGTCCTACCTTGATTTGCCATCTATGTTGTTTTGGAGGACACATTTCCACGTGATTGCAAAGCCGTAATAGAAGGACATCTGTCAGAGACAACAGACAGTAAACCTCTCTGAGCACCCGGAGGTTCACGTTGAATCACGCAGTTAAGGGTCCTGTCCTCACCTCGCAGGACAGCCGGGCCCCGTGACAAGCTCCGTGTCTGCGGCCGTCCTGAAGCCCTCGGCGGGTCCCCCTCTTAAAACCTTCCCGGTAGCCTTCATCTCGGAACCTGTGAAACAACGAAACTGAGCTTCAGACTGCTACAGGAAGCAGCATCTATTCACTAAACCCACCTTTCTTCTGCAAACACAATGCTACCAAACAGGTCATCGTCCATTCTCACGTCGGCCATTGCTCCAACTTCCGGCTAACTCGCCGGAAATTGTTATCTGACTGAACTCTGAACCCGGCGGCAGTGCCACCCCCAGGGTAGGAGGGAAAGTGTTCTCAGACGGTATGAGTTTCTTTGATTTTATTTTTTGCTTTGACAAACGCATAGAAATCAATGAAGCAGTTTCTCAGCAGCCTGTTTGAGCTCTTTTCAAAGTTTCAGCTCCCACAAAAGAGCCAAATCTTAAAGCTCCCAAACGGCTGTTTTAGTATAATTCGGTGCTTGTAATTTAGCCTAATTTAGCAAAGATGAATGTTTCGTGTGTTGGTGAGTAACTTTAAGTGTTTTCATAAAAGTTGTTCATTTACTACTGCTGGGGAGAACTTACATGGGGTTCAAGTCCTGTAATAAAGTTTGAATTCTTTTGTCTTTCACAATAGAAAATGACTAACAGTCCTCTCACCCAGCTCCTAATCAGCATGAATCTGTAGCATCCCCGGTATAAAAGATGGTCTCTAAAGCCGATGGTTCACAATCCTTTTATGAAACAGCTTTGTACGTGAACACACCGTGAGAGCTACAACATATACAGAATAAAAAATACCATTAGTAAATAGAAAAGAGCATGTTACCTTTAACCTTTTGCCTTATTTATTAATCATAAATGAATAATTTGTACGTTAAATTAATGCACCTTTACATTGAGTGCTATTACCATGTATATTTATTAAACCCTTCTAACACTAAGCCAGTACCGACCTTTTCTATACCATGAAATCAGAATCAGAATCAGAATACTTTATTGATCCCTGGGGGAAATTATTTTTTGTTACAGTGCTCCATTTTAAACCAACATTAAGACAAGACAGACAATACACTAACTAAGAATAGTACAATATATACATATATATACATACATACATACATAAGTCACTCATAAATAAATAGTTGGAAAAGAAACATGTGTAGTTGTAGCAGCAAACAGTGTGTTAAGTAAGGATTAAGTGTGTTAAGTGTGTTAAGGATCATTTATTCAGTATTTAGCCTCCATTTTTAGAATTATTTCTTAGTCAATTTTATCAGTGTGGTTTTAATCCTGTCCATTTCCAATGCTGCAGGTTCTGTCGGTCAAGTGCACAGTTTGCATAATGGGTGTACACTCTTGCAAGTAATGTAAGCAATATAATTTTTCTTTACATCTTTCTTTATTTAGTATTGTGTTTTAGTTTGCCGTGTACTTTGTTGTGCCCACTAATGGAATACTTGAGGTTTTAAACTAGGTTTTAATAAATTGGCAGTTAGGGAACCTCACCAACGGCTTTGGCCTGTTAACTAAGCTTCTGTGCTATTTCCTGTTTTACTCCTGTTACAGAAACAAAGACACTCTTAATTAGACCACGTGAATCTCATCTCTGTTGGACTGGCCATTAACAGCAGGAATAAAGCAGGAGGCTTGAGACATAGATGAGGTGCAGATCAACCAGGTGTTTATTCCTCAACATTACAGATTACAGAAAACACAGCAAACCTAAATGGCATGTCTAGCCTGCCAAACGTTTAAAAGAAAGCAAACTGTAAATAAGCCAGACCACCCTGACTTTACATTGCAAGACACCTATGTAATTATAGAGCTTTGGATGAAAAAGGTCTGTTTTCTTTTATTTGAAATGTGGCCTTCTAACAGCAGGGGGCACTGCAAACCAAGTGGAATAATGAAGGAAGGTTTCTGTGAGTGAGTATGAGTATGCTGACCTGGCCATTTAATAATTCTTCTAAAAGAAAGCTAAGTGCCAACATGGGCAGCATTGGTCAGCGGGGTAATGGCTTTAACCTTTGAAAACAAGTTATCTTAAACAGTTCAGAAGTCCAGAAGTGTTTGACTGCCAAGAACGTGTTTCTGTGCTTTCTATCTGCCAGCTGTGAAAACACAGCTGGAGGTTTTGGATAAGGGACCATCAGCAACACTATCACAGATTAATGATTGAGTTCAGCAAACTTTTCTATGAGGCCATAGCCCACTGGCTCTTCTGTGGGTGAAAATTCATGTCAAGTGTTTTCACCTTCATGTCACAAGTTGTAATGGAAGGTCTATATTTTTAAATCTAATTTTTAACAAATGGAAAAATCTGCTGTGAAAATCACTCAGTCCCTCCACCTCCTCCACATTATGTGTATGCTGACACACAGAATCTACATGTGTCACTGTACAGTGTGTTTCTTATTCACACAAGACCAGACAGCAGTGGTAGCAGAGCTACCACGAGACATGCTGACCTGCCAGTTTGCCTGTCATTGTGGAGGGGCCACAGGGGATCCAAGATTTTTTTTGTCCCTACTAAATGTTATTCATAGGCGATCTGTGCTCTATGTAAATAAAACTGAGCTGAACTGAAACCTCACAAAAAACAGACAACACCTTTGAAACGATTTAGGCCCAATGCCCACTTTAAAAGCTCTAACCTCCAAACCCTCATAGACTTAAATTATATATCGGGTATAAATCGAAATCAGAATCAGAATCCTTTATTAATCCCGAAGGAAATAATTTTGACAATCCCATGTTTTCTCAATTTTGTAGTTTGAGAATATTTTTTCCAATTTTCTAAAGGTATGATGAAAGTTTCCAAGCCAAATGTAAAGTTACAAGAGGCCAGGTCCAGTTGATCTGTGTGAAGTATTGCTTTGTTCCATAAGTTGGCTGTGCATTGTACACATTATTTGATGGTGAGGGTGATTTGAGGGTAAGAAGACCTTTCAAGCTGACAACATTGACTTGGCATTCCAAACCTATTACAAAATGTTATACACACAACCTGCACAAGCCAATACAGAAGATATAAAAATGTTTCTTAACTCATTAGATTTGCCATCAATTGGTGAGTGTCAAAATGAATGCCTAACCAAACAGATTCAGAAGAAGAATTGGAAATGGCCTTAAAGAAACGAAAAAATAACAAAACACCAGGTACAGATGGCCTGCCGGCTGAGTGGTATAAAGCATTTGAGGTGGAGGTGCTTCCAGTTTTGCTAAGGTCATTGAACTGGACATTAGAGAATATGTCCACCCCCCCGCCCCACCCCCATCATGGTTTGAGGCAATCATAACAATTATAGCTAAAGACGGTAAGAACAAAATGCTGTGCAGCTCATATAGGCCGATATCAGTCCTAAACCAACATTATAAGCTTTACGCCTCAATTATATCTAATAGGCTAAACTCGTTCATCCCAGATTTGATTGATGAAGATCAAACTGGATTTGTTGGGGGCCGGCAAACCCAAGACAACATAAGACCCTCTCTCCACATAATCAATAATGTAAGAGGAAGTAATCATAAAGCGGTACTAAAAAGTCTGGATCCCGAAAAGGCCTTTGATTGCGTTAGCTGGACGTATTTGATTTTGGTCCTAGAAAGATTTGGTTTTGCTGAAAACTCCATTAACAGTATTAAGACATTATATTCAATGTCTACCGCGAGAGTCAAGATAAATGGACGAGTCACGGACCGTATAAAGTTGGAAAGATCTACTCGCCAAGGTTGTCCCTTGTCTCCGACTCTTTTCGCTCTTTACATTGAACCTTTAGCACAGGCAATAAGAGAAAATAATAGTATTCATGGGGTCGTGGTTAATTCAAGAGAACATAAAATAGCACTATATGCTGATGATGTCCTCTTGTACTTGTCGAATCCAGACCAGTCCATCCGGACCCTTTTAGATTTGCTGGGAAGGTTTGGGATGTATTCTGGTTACAAACTCAACATAGGAAAAACACAAATTTGAAGTTTTAACTATAGCCCGTTGAGTGAGGTCAAAAAAAAAAATTCTGTTGATTGGTCTCTGAAAGCAATTAGATATTTAGCAGTATGGCTGACTAAATCGTTAGATGGCTTGTATAAAAAAAACTTTGAGCCCGTGAACCAAAAGATTAAAGAGGACCTCACTCAATGGTCAACACTTGTTTTTGATTTTAGTGCAAGAATGGAGGTCATTAAAATGTCAGTCCTACCCAGACTACTGTATCTGTTTATGTCTCTGCCTATCAAAATCCCCAAATCTCAGTTCCATGACTGGGACAAACAAATATCTCGATTTATTTGGAGGGGGCGGAAACCTAGAATTAAATATAGCACATTATTATTCCATAAAGATAAAGGCGTCTTCTCCCTCCCAAGTCTCAGAGATTACTACCTTGCCGCTCAACTCAAAATAATTATACAATGGTGTGATGACACTTATGGGGCCCGACGGAACGACATTGAGAATATGTGTGGGGTCATTCCAATACAAGCCTTGATAGGAGATCAGAAGCTGGCAACAGCCCACCAGAAAGAACTGAACCCTTTCGCATCTTTTACATTGCTTATCTGGTTTGAGTTAGTGAAAGAACTAAATCTAAGGAACCACATTCAAGTACTTAAGTGGGTGGCTTATGACTCTGAGTTTAAACCAAACCAATTGGATTTACAATTTAAGAACTGGTCGCATAAAGGCATTAATGTATACTGTAAAATACTGGATAAGAAAGGCCTGCAAAGTTTTCAAACATTACAAGAAAAATATGAGCTAGGAAAAAATGATTTTTTCAGATACCTACAATTACGTGACTAAAGAAATTAATACACAACCCAATGAAATAATTAATCTGATTTCACAAACATACTTTAAGGGATGTAAGTCAGTTATCTCTAAACTCTACCAGGGCATATTAAAAAGAAGGGGAACTTCAACAGATTATATAAAGGGAAGATGGGAGAGAGAGTTGTCCTCAGTTATAACTTCTGAGCGATGGGACAATATGTGTGAGACTGCTATTTCAAACTCATCCTCTGCATACTGGCGAGAATTTAGTTGGAAAAACGTGGTACGATTTTTCATAACACCAAAACAACAAACACGGGGAAATTCTTCATGCTGGGGAAACTGTTGCAAACCATACCCACATATTCTGGTCGTGTCGAAAACGTTCTAAATTTTGGGAAGATGTTATATCAAAGATAGAACAAACTATAGGCTTTAAATCAAAACAACGGCCTGTCATAACATTTTATTTAGAAATTACTCGTAA